AGACAGTCGATTCTCTTCATCTGTATATATCATAATTCATCTTCACCATGTAATCATTTGTAGTCTGTGCAACTTTATGTTTCATTAAATATTCGGGTTATTCATAGTCGAATTATTTCATTTCAAGCCCCTAGACACCACATCGGAAGTAAGTTTACAAACATCATATTCCTAGACAGTAAGTACAGATTCTACAATATATTTTCTAACAAATAATGCAAGTGCTTTTTTTTTTTTTTTTACTTTAAAAATAAGTACTGAATAACAAATTCATTGATGAAATTGAACTTCAGTAATTTAAAACTTTTCAACGATTCAGTTTAACCCTTTCGAGATGGCACGTATTCCCTTGAGATGGATGGAAGTCAAAAGGAATCGTCCCATAGGACACCGGCTTCATGTCGTTAAGCCTAACTTTAGAGGAAGGGAGTTTGAAGTCCTAATGTCAAACTTTCGGTATCATTTTAGACTATTACTTAAGATATCAACTATATGTTAAACTTAGCATTTAAAAATCTTTTTCCTTTACTTTCATTAAAATATTAAAGAAAAATTGCTTACTCTGAGAAATAATTTTCAGAAATGCTATTCAAATTATTCCAAAGTTTCAATTGAAAAAATTCCTTAAAAAACTTTAAAATTAATAAAAAATATAAGAAAGACTATTTACAAGAAGTAACAGAATCTTTTCACATGGAAAGTGGAAGGCAAGCACTCAGTGAGTTCATTCTCTTAAATATCAGAATCTCCATTTCAGAATCCCTGCAATATCGCTCTCCAACACTTAAAAAAATGGACCATTACTCTCATGTCACTAATTGACTCATTTATCATACTAGTATGACCTTCCTCTAATAAATAATGCTTGGTCACCATAACAAACTGTAGTCAAGGCTTTTCAAAATAAAAAAAGAGTACATTAAATGCAAGTGATAAAAGCAATGCAAAGCATAACAGAACCCCACACAGTAACCCTAAAAGAAATTGATTTGAAGGGATATCAGAAATGGGAATGTTTATATCATGTGCTGAGTTAAAAAGATGTTTGTTTACATTAGCTTCCTCTCCTTCTACGCAACAACCGAGGCAGAATGAGATCAAACTGAAGATTGCGATCTTAAAACTATGCTCAGTTCAAAAGTAATGGACATAGGACACATCTATGACCCTTAAAAAAATGGTCCAGCTTAAAATGCATATATGCATCACCTGTCCCATCAGTGCAATCTCCGGTGGTGCACGGGTGGGAGACGTTCGTAGGGAATGCATATATGGGATACCCATCTGGAAAGGGTTAACAAACATCAAATTAATTTATCAGAAAACCAAATTTTTATATTTTTACAATTTGCATGTTTTTTTCCATGTTGTCATAAGTATTTTTATTTTATTTCCATATATGTTATTTTTTTCACATATTGTTCTGATATTCAAAATTAAAAGTTTAATTACTTTTGCTTACTTAAGAAATTAGTGCATTAAAATTCAAATTGTGCATAAACTTTTGTCATCATCTTTTAAATTTCTGCATATTTTAAACCTTTTAAGCAATGTGAAAAACTGAACTTTAGTACCATAAGTAACATTAAGAACTAAGTCAATAATCATAAAACTAAAGTCGACAAGACAAACTCCAAATTATGCCCGAGATACATTTTCGTTAATCCTAGTGAGAAGATATACACATCTTTGTGCATGTTACATGACCTCATTATTAAGTTATGCAAAAAATCATCCTCAGACAATTCTTTTACCAGCAAATTAAAAATCTGCTTAGAACATATTTATATTAAATATATCAGTTTAAATGTCATCAAAATCTATTGTTTTAAAGAATTTCATGCAGAAATAAGATAGCAGAATACGTAAGCATTATTTTACCTTTTAGCAACAGTTCTTAAGAAAAATCTTACATTTCAGGAGCGCAAATTAATCTTCGGCATTTTTTTCCCTGTAATTTGAAGTATAAGGTTTGGAAAAAATTACATAAAAATTTAACAGTCATTATTAAAAATCTAAATTTTTTTAATAGTTTTTTTGGATAAAATTTAATGTTCAAAATAGAGCTGGTGTGAAGATAGAACGAAAAAAAATTTTTTTTAAATGTAACTAAGTTTTTGTGTCTCTCTACAAAATTATTTATGATAAATGTTTTTATTCAGATATGAAAATTAATATTAATTGAATTAAAAGCATATATTACAGTTGAGAAAAATTATTTACAGTATTTACTCATCTTTTATCCTTTGTAACCTACTGTATTATTTTCTCATATCGCATTGTTTTCACGTCTGATTTAATCCTTGCAGTATATTTTTACTTATTTAATCAATTATTTATTTACTTATAATGTATTTAATAGCAAAATAATAATGCATTTTATATTTCATTTAACTTTCATTTCTCATAATTTAGTGTTTCAACTATTATTTTGTTCATTCCAATTTTTATGCATCATTCCTAATGATTTAACAAAGGTCTCCAGCGCTTTTGATTTTAGAAATTAATCCCTGTTCCAATCTAAAATAGTAAAACATTAACAAAATTTATAAGCAAACAAATAATACAGATTACTTAATTTTAAAACTAAAATTCACACATTACAAGACGTACTGAAGAGCTATTCATATAAACTACTTTCATAATTTTTTATTTCCACTTTCATGAACTAGATTTAGACTCTCCCAGTTTGAAAATTATGTATTTCATTAGTGGCTGCATGTTAAAGAAGTACATGATTTCACACAGTATTAAAAAACTGACAGTTTACTTGTTTCATGTCCCAAATAAAAATGGCAATCGTAAAATTCCACTTGGTCTGGACAGACACTGTTAAAGACAGATGCTATCCCAGAACACAGTTGATCCAATGCGACACTCTACAGGGTCTCTACGCTGCTTAATTTCAAAACATTTTTAAACAGCTATTACTTTTGATTGGTACATACATTATAAATACAAAGATATTTTTCATGACAAATACTGCTCACATATATCCTAGATTTCTTCAAAAAGGCACTCAACAATTTTCTTGATGTTTTAAAATTTTGGAGTGTGTATCAAATGCCTTAGGAACTTGGGCTCATTCATGGGTGATCCGACATAATGATATGCTTGTGCTAATGGACATGAACAAAGGTAATGGCTGTGGCCTGCCCCTTTTGCCATAAATGCAGATGGCTGAGGAAGATATATCTCTCTCACAGAAGTAAGTGGGGAAGGTGCTGTGACAAGATTTGAAACAGAGGTTAGTGAGACCTATTACCCATCTATCAGTTAGTGAGACTTTCCATCTATCATCATTCATACATTTTGCCTTCAAGTGCAGATTTCCAATTGCTCTGTCAAAACACATTAAGTTTTTTTGAGAGCTGCTTTTTTAGATATGACTTTAGATGCTTTATATTCATAATTTCAGATTCAGGTACAGGAAGTGCATCTTTAGTAGAGGAGTCTTCATTTAGGGTAATTCCCACATGGGCTTTCACAGAAATAGCTGCCTACACAAAGAATAGCCATCCTAATCCTAACAGAACAACCATCCTAATATATATCCTGCTATGGCATGAACTAGGCATTATTATAGATTTGAAGAAATCTAAACGTAAATATCCATTTTAACTGAGAATATGTAAAATTCTGAAAATACTTCAACTTATTGCAGCAATGCATTCCTTGGCTCAATTTGAAATAACTTAAACAGCAATCACAGCCCTCTTGTAATGCTTAAACTCAAGACACAAAAATTAATAAAATGCACTAACATTAAAATAATTTCAGCTGAAAATATCAGATCACAACAAGTATGAAAATAATTTTATAATCAGTATATGAAATGTATTAACTTATACATATTAAGCTATTTTGAAAAGAAAGAAAATTATGTTTAAATAGGTGTTTTTAAATAAAAAAATTAAAAATAAAGTTCCAATTCACAGACTTCAAATCTGAATACTGAAAGACACTGAAGTTCAGTTCAAAAAGAATTTCACTTTTAAAAGCTCTAATAGCTCTTCTTCCTACTTTTTTTTAATGTAAAACAGCATAAAACAAAAATAGAAAAATATTAACAATGTTTATTGCAGGGTGAATAAACTTAAGAAATATCACAATAAAAAGAAGGTTGCAATGTGTTATAGACAGCAGACTACAAATTTCACTTGTTTCAAAATTTACATTTTGAAAACACGTAATGGTATGCAAAAGTAGAGTTTAGAAATTTTACATATTACAGGTTAAAAATATACTTTATCATAATGATCACATAAAACACTTTGTATTGTTAGAAAATGTTATTTCAAAATACATATACAATAACTTTTCAAATGATTTACCTTCCCGCACTGATGTGAAACATACTTTTATCGAACAGAAGACAAATAAGATTTTGTGGAATGGTAATGGCAACAACACTCTCTTACATTTCTGACCTTTACTTGCAAGAAATAAGATTTTATTACTAAATGAAAACAGTAACATCTTTTTGATGCATTAAAAAAGAGAATACACTAATCATAAAATCTACATTTCAAATATATGAATTTGCTATGTTACTTATAAAAAAGCATCAATTGCTAAATGCTTTCATGTTAACCAAGAGCAGCATAAAATATGAAACTTAATGCTGAATGCTTCCTACATATGTGATTACCTTACAATATTTTCACCAGTAAAAATTAAGGAAAGTAAAAGCTTTTAGTGCTATTCTTTAAAATGAAAAGATATTGTGATGATTCGTTTTAATACACATCATCAAAAAGAATTTGCCAAAAGCTTTCCAAAATTTGAAAAGATATCAAGACCTAAGTATGCTGAATATGAGGTCATTACTGCATTTGAAAATCCTATACAGAATAAAATTCTGTGAAATATATGTAGTCAATTCATTCTTAAGTTATTAACATTGAATGCTTGAAAATTAGATAAATCTATTCACCCATTTAATCATAATTTTTTTTTTAAAATCAATAAATGAATTTTAAAATACCAAAATGTATTACTTGCAGCAGCAATAAAGGAACTGTATGCTTCAAAAGTTATTAATGGAACTGGCAGAAGGCGAAAGAATAATTTCAGTACACCAGTTATTACATTGATATCTTCAAATGCATTTCTGCTGATATCTGCACTTTCACAATCTAAATAAAATGATACAAAGTTAAATTATTTGTCACCCCCAAAAAAGTAACACATTGAATTGAGAAACAATTTCCGTACTCTGTAGAATTCCGATAATGTTAGAGCACTTAATCCCTGAATGTCTGTAATTTGCACTCAATATTGAACATAAACAAAATTTTGATTTCACAGAAAATTCAACATAGCAAAGTTACTGTCACTTTTTCACTTACATGTACATCAAGATACACTTAAAAAGAATACACTGTATTTATAAAATAGTTTAGTTACAATAGCAAATTAATTTTGCTTCTGAACTTATTTAACATTTTCAGGTCCACGTCTGCTCTTTTTATAATAAACATACTGCAAATCTGATATATCCCTACATTTGGGCACACATTACACCCCCTTTCTTAATATCAATTTATAATTTATGCAAGTAATTAACTTTTAAATTGAGGCATGTATCAGGAACTTATTTGTCTAGAACTTTACAGCAACTCACATGCTTCAGTTAATTATTAGTGTTTTTAAAGCATTAGAAATGGAAAATCTGATACAGTCACTAAAGAAAGATTTAAAATAAATAAATAAATAAATCCAATATTTCAATTCTTCTTCCTTAGTTGTTAATATATCCTATGCCTATGGGCAGATTATAATGGCAGAGTTAAAGCTTGGATTTAACTGAGGAAAATCCTTACTGTGAGGTTTTGGGAAAACAGTGCATTTATTTATAAATTTATTATCCCTCTGGATCTAAAAGTATTTTTATTAGTTGATACACATTTTGTTTTGTATCAAATATTGTGACACATTTTCACAGTTTCTTACCTACTCAAAACGTTTTCTATACATTAATCCCTTTAAAATGTTTTTGTCTTGCAGTGACATTACTTTTTGTACATACTTGCATAAAAAAAGACATTAATTTTGTATTCAATAAATCTCAATTATATCATTTGCAGGGCATCACAGTATTTTGGATATTTAAGTACAAACAATCCAGATTTAGTATAAAAATTAAACAAGGAAAAGTGCAAACAAAGACATCTGCAAAATTCGTTAATCCGCATAACCCTCAGTCCTGTAGCGTCCAGATTATCGGAATTCTACTATATTAGTTAAATACGAAGATACACTGATACTTTCATACCCCGCTCAAAGACCATTCTACACATTTCTATTTCATCACTGAAACCTGAAACTCGATACAATCCTTCAACATCCACACCTGGAAGTTAAAACATTATTAGTCACATGGCAAGGCAACACCAAAAATAAATACACGTTCTGAGACAAATTGCTGCAGAAGATTAAGTAACGACAGATACCACTGTCTAATTACTTGCTAAAATATATATAAAATAATTAATAATCAAAGGGAACAATGATAGCAATACTGGCATTAAAATTTTAGTTAATAAAATTCACATCCAAAGCAATATAACAGCTTGTACTGTAATACAAATAATATAGAAAAATTAATTTGAAAGCTAAGAGATAAATGTTCACATATATGTAAAGCATTTACTCTACAAATGTAACAGGTGAAAAGCATATTTTGGTCTTACAAAATGATTCAAGAATACATATCACAACTTAATCACTCTTAGCAGTTTCACAACCATTTTATTTTTGACAATCCATACTTAATTTCAGAAAATACAACACAATAAAGCTTCCAAAAGCTTTTATAAATAACAGAAAATAAAGCAAAACCCTCATACCTGTAATCCTTACTTGTTATTTACTTAGGTGCCATTCAACATTTCAGAATCTCAGATATGGTCTCAACTAACTTTCTCAGCAATGACTGGAAAAGGTTTGCATTGAAACACAGCAACAATTCATTTAGTTTTATTAACCACTTGCACTAAAAAGACGTGCCACGCATGTCAAGATGCTTTTGTCTCAAAGCTTGAGCAACGTGAACACCACGTCGATAGGCACTTATCGCAAAAATGAAAATAACGTGGTGCACACATCATCACCTAACAACGAGATTATTTCTCGAGTTACAGCTCTGAATTGCACTCGCAGACGCGGAGCGGCGTAAATGAGACACTTTACCGCTTGCTATATTGTAGCACACGGCACCGCAACTGTGCAGTTTAGTCGTAGCGCAAGCGGTTAACAAGCAGAAAGTTAAGAACAGCAGTCTATCAAATGTCGTATGGCTCTCCACCATCAATGGACTGAAAAGCAGCCATATACTTTGAACAAAGTTTCTTACATTACTGCAGGATAGATATGACTAACAAAGCAATGTAGCAGTGCTTACTGCTCTATTACAACATGTAATTCTGCAATGTAGAAAATGATTTTGATAAATAAAATGCAGATGTATGTTTAAAGCCTCTTTTCATTCTTGCATTAAAAAAATTAATTTCAATTGGCACAATCTATAATAATAAAAGCAAGTGTAATGTGTCTGGTCGTCTGACGACTCTCCACCAAATCTATCGCACAGGACCTGAATTTTTTATACGGAAGCAAAGGGGCGGGCCACCAGACCTCGAACCCCGTTTCGATTTTGAATTAGAAAATTTTAAAAAATTATTTATAATTATTAATCACGGTTTTTTTGACTCCTGATATTATTATTTGTTCAAATAACGTTCGATTGTAACAATTGTTTCTTATTCGCGCGTTAGTTTGCTGTTTTGACGATACATTAAATCGATTAATTACAATTCATTTCTTTTTGTAGCTTGTGGGGGGGGGGAAGAGAGAGAGACAGTCTACATGTCCTACACTACTATTCCTGCGCTATTCACTTATCTGCATTTTCTAAATGCACGGGCAACGCCGGGCGGGTACACCTAGTACAAAATAAAGCATGGTTTATCACTGTTACTGTCAATCACATCTTGTACTGTGAAATTTAAATGAATTTTTTAAAAAAATCAGTCTTTGATTTACATATATTCATAAATTAATCATATTTTTAAGTGATTTTTCACTTTATGCATTCTCATGCATGATGAAAATGCAAACTTTTATCTGCTAAAAAATAATATCACACCCTTATACATTATCATGCATGGTGACAATGCAAACTTTTCTCTTAATCTGCCAAAAAATATCTCAAAGTTGCATTTCCATGAAGTTAAGTGTAATGTGAATGTGGGCCAATTTGCCTTAAAATGTTTTCCATGACAGCATTTTCCCTCAGGTGATGGCCACTACATGCAATCCAGAAAATAGAATCATATTCCATAAAGCAATTGTAAGGCTGGGTGATAAAAAGAAAAATATAGTTTCTGCTCAAATGATTTCAAAAGTGATACAGTCAAAAGTCGTTAATTTGAACACCCATAATCCGGAATGATCTATAATCTGGACCTCAAAGCTACAAACTTTCTGCGCATGTGTCAATGCATAATGCGTTCACGCATGCACGTAATACTTTTACGCATGCGCGTTTAATTAATGTAACGGACGTATAAGCTAAGCCTAAAATTATCTTACTATCTATTCAGTTAATGTTGCAGATTGCGTTGTTTCTTAATCTTTGAATTGGATCCGGCTTATTATTTTTTGCAGACTGTTAGAGCAATTAATAAAAGTAAGCTTGAACTTTCGATTATGTCAATAAATTTCCGATATATATTTACTATATGTAAAGGAATCTACAAAGCGAAGGTATGTTTCGATGTCCAGCAAACAAAAAGTGGAATTGCTGCAAAAATGGATAAAGGTATATCTTTGTTTCTCTAACCATTCCGAAATCTGCTTATCAATTTCACGCTGTTCTGCCGGGGGGGGGGACTTCGCAGCGCGCAATGAACTGGAAGTTGATTGTCAGCACTTCCTTATCTTCAGGAAGATGTTTTTTATTTATTCAGCTTATAATTCCTTACTAAATGTAGTATTTTCATCTCGATGTATTCCGTTTGATATGATTTAAATCAAATTCCTCGTCATTATAAAATATCACGAGTACACATCAAATAGTTTTCTGGTTGCAATTTTCTAATTTCGACTATGCGGAATGTATGCTTTACATGTCGCGTTGAAAGAAATGTTTAATAAAACAATAATATTAAGCTTTTTTTTTTGTAAATTTTGATACCCTTTAGATCATAATTGCTCTTTATTTCATAAATTACGGTTTCATATTTTTAATTTTATAATTTCTGCATGCCATCTTACCAGATTTAAACCCATGATCGATAACCCGGAAAAATCAATCTGGAATCACTGAAGTCCTGACGAGTCCGAATTAAAGACTTTTGACTGTACAAGCAAATATAAAATGCTTGATAATTTATCAGCTGATTCATTATTCTGCACTGATGGTGCCTACTCATCCCTCCAACAGCCCAGTCTTCATCTAATGGACGCCTTCCATGGTAAATTAATAAGTCATTATCATATCCCAGAACATCTTGTTAACATTATACAGCATTTAGGCTTGAAGAACACAGAGGCCAATCAAATTCCCAAATGCCCTTAAGTTTTTCCATGACCCAAAAAACAGCTGTAGCATTTATCATTCATAAACAGTAAACCTTGACCAAGAGTATAATTAATCAAGTGAACAAGTGGAAAAATAACTTTATCATACACTGTTATTTAAAACTGACAGATAATTTTCAAAGTAATGCTAACTGCACAAAGATATTAAAATTCTACTGAATGCAATTATGATAATTACATATAATAATGCAAAAATAAATAGATCCACAGACTATGCAAATAAGACCAAACATAAGCAAATGATAAAAGGAAACATGTTCGATATGAAGCACATATCATGATCAAATCTGTTAAGCTTGAAAGCAGTCACAAGCTTTTAATCACGTCCAACAGACATTAAGATGAAGGCTACATGTGGCAAGTGCTGGAAGACTTTGAACAGCTCACACAGAGCTCAGCTTTACCAGACAGTTGAATGTTTCCCAAAGCATGACATAAAACATTCAAGGATGCTTTTTAAGCAAACAGTTTGTGAAGACCACTAAAGAATAACTACAGGATCTAAAGGTAATTACTTATCATTATTTCCGTACCACACATTACACAATAACCGGACAACTAACTTAGGAGCCTCTTAGTAGCTACTGAAATGCAAATAAGAAAAACCTACGGCTTTATGCCCAGAAGACTACTATATTGTGTTAAATTTTAATTCACATTCCACAGGAAAGTGTTTAAAATGGTGTTTACTTCATTGTCAACTAAGCAAGATGACTGTTCATGGATGAATCCGAATGCAGTTGAAATAGTGATTCTGGAGCTACTTTCATCTAGAAAGACTTTAACATGTAGCTTTAAATAACATCTATCATTCTATATTCATGAAAGACATAGTTTCTTTGATGGTGGTTTACGTATTTTAAGGAGAAAGATATCCGAGAAATCATACACATATCTTTTACCATTATTCAACTTCCAAACATAATACATTTGTGATTCCCATTACACGCTGAACAAGTACTAATTTAAAAGTCAAACAACAAAAATCAGCTTTATATTTTCAAATTTTCACAGGACTAGTTTCGATAGCTTTACCGAACCATCACACTCAGCTGCAAAAGTGAAAAAAAAATAAAGACTTCTAAATTAGTATAATATATGTTTATAAACATTTATATACATTTCCTTCATGCTCTTTTGTTCAGTACCAAAAATTTAGTATGGATTTAATAATCCCTTAATTCTGAACACTAGTACAGTAATGCTTATATATATCTATTAAACATTATTGCCTTGATGTTATTTTTTTTTTCAATTTATTTTTGTTTTTGATGTGTTCCAAATCAATCACAGATAAGCAGATATTCAAAAATACAACTATTTTTTTATTTCATAATTTTTTCGCTTTTAATGAGAAATTGTTCATTGTTCTATGATTTTGCAGGTAAAATATTTATTCAATTTCAAGCTCTTTTTTGTATTATTTTTTAAACTAGCATAAATTGTAAAGTACAGTAATATGTCTAGCTTGATTATTCCACATATTCTTTCTCATCCCTGTCATACATGGGAATTGAAGATTAAGCTGATTCCACATGATGAGAACAAATAATTCAAATTTCAGAAAATTATAATACACGTATAGAAAAAACACACAAATTTACTTAAGTGCTCTCTAAATTTTACTGAAGTAACATTTTTGTGCAAACTTAACTAGGAAATTAATTGAATATGCATTCAAAGAACTATAAATTCATTAAAATAGTTTTTACATATCCTTCACCACAGACTGCAGTGAAACTCTACATCATGCAGTTTCAGAAATTATAACTTAAACTATTTTTTATTCCTTACAGCTTGTTGAAGTGTCATCATAATAATGTACATGACTAATGTAACAGTGCACAGTTATCCTAAAAATGGAAAACTTGCTAAACAATACTGCAGCCACAGAGAAACACATCACAAATAAATGGATACATATCTGAAAGTTACATTTTCTATAGCTAACTCTAGTCATAAAATTCATTCAACTGTTTACTTATATCAAGATATAATGAAAATATTATTACCTCTTTTCTCTGTTTCTTTAATGCAAAGATCAACCACAAAAGGTCTCAAAGTGTTATGTGCTTTGACAAGCGTTATAAGGTCAATACCAAAGACTCTTTTCACATACTTTAAATCTGGCATACAATCATTGGGAATTTTCTCTGAACATTTCTTATGTGCACTAAAGCCACAATCTAAAATATAAAGTATGCATTTAATTCTTATGTTTTAAATCCATATATTTCATTTTGTGGAAAATGTCACCTTACCTTCACATTTAACTCCTTGAGCTATTAAGCCCCACATGAAATTTCCACAAAAATCACACCAAGGCAGTCCTATAAAGTTGTTTGTCTACAAAAAGAAAAAAAAAAGAGAGAGATTAACATATGCCATGTTTTGAGAATGCAGTAAGTATGCATACAAATCATCTCCATCCAGCATTATTTGCTCAGGAATAGACATTACTGTTGATGTAACTTCGCTCTATTGACCAGAATTTCTTTAAAAAAAATTTTTAGTTTACATTCTTAATTATGGAAATGTGTTTCGATTATTAAAAAATTTTCATTTATCAGCTAATTACATTATACAGTAATAAAGTACATTTTGCTGGTATATAATTACCTTCAAAAGCCACATTTTTTATTTGAATAAACATAAGTTTTGAAAGTTCAAAATTGTAATGTGCTTTTACAGATAGAGTTTATTAAACAAAAAAGTAACTATTTTCTTTTAGATATTATGATGCCTAATTTAAAAATCAAATTCCCACAAGAAAAATAAACGACAATATTTCACCATGAAAAGCCAATACCAAAACTGAAATGGATGACAAGCCAGATATGCACATACACAGTTCTGAATTAAATACCAAGCAAAATAAGCAAGTGTCTGTGGCATTAAAGGAAACAGGCACCACACAAATTCTATAAGATACACTATAATAAGATCACCTTTTTGGGTGAGGGGGAAAGAACTCTGAAGAATATAGTTCTTGATAAATGGCATAGAAATGCTTTCACATAATTTCTTTATCATCAGAAACATAACCTTTTTCTAAATGATATTTTATTTCTGTTACATATAAATGCAAATATTTCATACAATTTGATTATGGCCCCTAAATATGATTCCAAATTTCTACATCAAATATCTTGGTCAAGCTTTGTGTTTTATTTTTTTAAGTACAAAATGTTTCTAAATATAGAGACTAGAAGAACATATAAAAATTTTGATTTTGTAATTTTTACAAAATTGATATTTTCTTTTTTTTTAAAGTTGAAAATGCCCAAACATGAATCTGCATCATTTAAAACTATTTTATGATTGGAAGTGTATGCCTGCGACCAACTCTTGTGAAAATAAAGGCCAGATAAGGACTTTTATGAACACAGTGTATAATACTACATAATACAAGTATCTCCCATTTATTCCAATAATTCATAACACGAATTAAATTTATGTTTCTTGGGGATGGTATTAAAAACTTTCCTCATATATATAAGGTATAATAAAATAAGATGGCTGCTTTAAGAATAATTGGTGACCTCAAAATTAACTATTCTAGATTTTATGCTCTCCTCCTAAATTCACCTGTTCTCCCAAATCCGAGATCATTTCAAATTACATAACACTACTTGACAAAAGGTAATTAAAAGTAAAATTAACCAATCACAGCTTAGATTCACACATGCAACTATCAAGTATAAATACTGCTTTTGCGAGGAACCATGTTCCCTTTTTTCCTAGCTGCTGCCATGCCAACATCTCCACGCTGCTATGCTTCCCTGCCTGAAATGATGTCGTACCTTTTTTCCTGTTACATAAAAATTTTTTGTATCCGCCGATGACTGAAAAGCAATTTGTTTGCCAAAGAGATGATTTCAAATATGTAAAAATAGAGGTGGTGATTCTTCAATTCAGTTTTATCAACATCATAAGATATTTTCCCTGATCCTGCCTTTTCCACCCAGCCATGTCTATAGCCATAAGTTAGAATACCGGATTCACTACTGTGCACTTAAATTATTACATCTAAAACGATGTAGTGAGAGATGTGTACCTACACTTCACTGAAGTGTTATCATGGAAAGTATGGCTATGATTGTGAAAGAGAATTGGTTAATTAATGCCTTCATGTGCTAATCTTCAAGATATCTACAGCTCCGTCAATCCATGCGAGCAGCCTGGAATCAGCAAATCATTTGCTCCGAATTGTGCCAAAACAAGCGTGTTACAAGTTTTAAATGTTACAATTTATGTTTTAATGTTACCTTATATAAAGTCAAAATCCGTTCTTCAAAATTTAATTCAATATATGCTGTGATTTAAAGTGCAATGTAATTCAACAGCAATATGAAAATGTGAAAAAAAATCAAATCAGATTGCTGCGAGTGCTTAAAAATGAAATCTGGTGCCAGCTGTTAAAAATTAATCCAGTGCTTGTTTATAGCAAAATGACGAGTGTTTTTGAGAGTGTCAATGTTTCAAATCATTCCAGTGCTTCGAAGGTCATTGAACTGCATATCTTGATCCGGCTTTTACGCAAATAAATTAGGATCTTCTTTTGCCAGTTACAGGATTAAAATTACACTTGAAGTAAGAGCCAGAAAATTTTTACTTCTGCTTTTGCATAATTGAATCTACATTGGGAACTGATATTTTTCTTAAGAAATCAGATATTAAAATTGTAGCACTGTGATATGAAAAATATAATTTAAACTTTTCAAGACGGGATGGCTATTATAGTGGCCATAGAGTCCTCTCTTTGAAAAGACGGGGTTGTCCACTTTAGTGGCCATGTCTTTTTCCCCCATTTTCCAGGCTGAAAAGTGGGGTGAAATGTCACGGGCGTTTAACCACTTATCTCTTTCAAAGGTCTTCCTTTTGCAACACAGATGCACCTCTCTGAGAATCCATTATACTACACACAAGAATCTTTGTTGCAAATAGGAGGGGATTTTTTAAAGGAGGGAAAGTATTCGGTTCAAGATTCCCCGTCCTTTGGTAGCTTATACTGCTACCAAAGCCCTGGCCTCCAAAGGTTAACGATAGAAATTCTAATAATTTAGTAAAGAATTGTTAGATTTTCAATTATTTTTAAGGAAGGCTGTTATAATAAATAATTATATTTTTGAATTTTTGTTGAAAATTTTGAATAAGAATTTTATAATTATTATAAAAATGAAGCGGATATAGAAAATAAGTGAAATTAGTACAGATAAATAATACGAAATTATGGTAAATGCATGTTTAAATTTATTGATAACTGTATGTTAAGTATGCAGTATATTGAGGGAGTACTGGTTCCGAAACAGAGGCCTGTTATTACCTCTGTACAGTTGTTCCTTTCACTCTCTTGATGTAAGATAATGAAAACTCTCATTTTATAATTGAGTGTAATTTTTTATATATTATACTTTTTATTATGGAATGTATTAGTGCAGTTCACAAAGGCCAGTTACCTTATGTAAAGGAACAGAGGCCTTTTTAAGTTACTGCCTAGGCATTTCTGAGCCACTGGTGCAGAAGTACACACTGGTTAGCTCAAGAGGATATCCCTACTGATAGAAATGTTTGTTTAGAAGTACTGTGAGGACTTTCAGTTTGGTAAAGTAAGGAATTGCAAATGAAAGAACTTAACGGTGAAACCATATTTTCTGAAAGTCACTCTTATTATATTTACGGCGTTAAAATACAATTTATAAATATGGAAATTAGTATCATAAATATTTATGTGTGTTACATTTAATTATAAATAATGATTCTGTAAAAGTTTTTATTTGTGATAATCTGTGATAACAAGAACCTTCCCCAAAGAATTGATTATGTGAACTCTCAAAGAAAGAGAATTTGGACTGAAATGCTGAAAAATTTAAAAGGACTCTTAAGAATTGTATTCAAAATTTATACTTTATAGTTATTTAATTATGTTGATCAAAATTTTATGATTTACATTTTTCTTCGTTTGCTGGTGCTTTAATGCTTTTTCTTTAAAAAGGCCACTATGCCCTTTTTCTCCTTGAAGGGGGGTGATATGCAAGATATAATAAAATACGATGACTGTTTTAAGAATAATTGGAGACATCAAAATTAACTATTCTAGATTTTATGCTTTACCCCTAAATTCATCTCTTCTCCCAAATTTGAGATCATTCCAAATTACATACCACTACTTGAAAAAAGGTAACTAAAAGTAAAATTAAACAATAATGGCTTAGATTCACATATGCACTTAAGCAGTATGAATACTGCTTCGTAACAAACTGCTTTTCTTTTTTCCTAGTTTCTGCCATGCCAATATCTCCACGCTGCTATGCTTCCCTGCCTGAAATGGCGTCGTATCTTTTTCCCATTGCATAAAAATTTATTGTACTTGACGATGATTGAAAAGCAATTTGTTTGCCAAAGAAATTATTTCAAATGTGTAAAAATAGAGATGGTGATTCTTTAGTTCAGTTTTATCAACATTTTATTCCTGCCTTTTCCGCCCAGCCAAGTCTACAGCCAGAAGTTCAAGTACCGGATTCACGACTGAAAGCTTAAATTATTACATACATATATTCTAAATAAAAGTAATTATGAGTAAATTAAAAAGCTTATTACCTGCACTAAAGTTGAAATGTAATAAACTAATAATTTACAATTAGAAAACTTTTTATATACCATCTCTAAGAAACAGAAATTCAATTACAACCATGAATTATTAAAAGGAAAAAAAGTTTTAAAGTAGTATTTTTTATACCTCCATTGCTTGAAAAACATAAACTGTAAAGAAATATCCTTAATCACAAGAAAAACAAAATTAAAAGTAAAAATTTTACATATTGAAAAAGGAGCTATTGTCATTGATTGCAGATTAAATGATTTGTCAAAGGGAACAAACCAATCTACTATGAAATACTCGCTTAATTCAGTTGTTAATTGACAGTAGATTGGTTTGTTCCTCTTGACAAGTCAATTAATCTGCGATCAATGACAATAGCTACTTTTACAATACTTAAAATTTTTACTTTTGATTTTCTTTTTTTTGAGATTAAGGATTTTTCTTTACAGTTTTTCAAGTAATAGAGGTACAGAAAATACTAATTTAAAATACTAATTAAAATACTGACTAAAAATGTTTTTCCTTTTAATAATTCACGGTTTGAATTTCTGTTCCTTGGAGTTGGTATATAAAAAGTTCTCTAATTATCACTTTTCTCACAGACCTAGATATATTTCTCATATATATGTTTATGCACACACATATATATATTACTTGGAATACACTTAAAGAGGTTGATCAAATTACAGTCACAAGAGGCTTGTGTTTCAAGGTACTCATAAATCATTAATTTTTTTTTAATAAAAAATGCCCTACATCTTACAACGAGGGATTGCTAAAAGTTAACATGAGATGAACCTCCAAATTCATAACTCTGCCACTAAAGGCACCAAAAGTTTTCAAGTCCTTACGTGCTCTTAATCCTGCACTTTATACATATTTCAAACACAGCAAATCTAGTAAAGAAATGACATCACCTATCCTGCATTAATATAATTTACTTTTCATAATTATGTTATTGTTACAAATATTTATTTTCTTGACAGAGCAAATTTTTGCATTATAATTATGTGAACTTAGCTTGAGATTCTAATCATTTCCACAATGAAAAATATATGGCTGGAAAAACAAGAAAATACTCCTCTACTTAGCATTAAGCAAAGTATAAAAGTAATGGTTATAGAGCTAACAAAATATATATTACATTAAAAAACTTTGTGAACTTATACATTTAACTGCTGGTTGAGATCAAGCAAAATTTTAAGAAACATCAAGGTATCTAGAATATCAACTTAAGACAGTTCTCTTACGTGGATTCAGTTCATAATGGTGTGGAGTTGAATACCTCATCTAACGATACAATCAACGACCGAATTTTGGCTGATGCTTGAGGTAAGCCCATCAGTTCCTTTGATGCAATCTTTAAATATGCAGAAAGTCTTAAACTGCTGCACATACAGTAATGAACAGCCAAATTCATACTTACCATCCTATGCAATTACACAGCCAATTTTTATTTATTCCTGAGTTTGAAGTAGAAATCCAACACGTGGGAGTAGCAAGCAGATGTTTTTGACATGATTTGAAATGTAATACAGTTATGCTGATGGACATAGAAATAGATTTTTCTTTCCTATCTGAAGCTCAAGACACAGATTCCATTGCAAGAGAAACAAAATAACCACAGTTACACTAATTCTTTTAGTCACCCTTTTAAACCTCTGCCTTATGCAATGCCTCATTTGTGTAACGTGTAACAATGGCTCTATGTGAGTAGCACCAAATAAGTATTTCAAAAAAGGTCCGAGTTACAGCAACTTAACAGAAGCATGTAAGCAATGTTGCATACTTCTGTAAAGCTACATGAAACTACATAACATGCAAAAGAACATAACTCAGGTAATCCCACTGCACTACACTACACTGAAGACTAGTAAATTATGCCTGCATGCTTTCAGCGATTAGACATGAATATTTCTATAGTAACATTTAATGAATAACAAAGAAATGTATTAACTAATCAAATACAAAATTTTGTTTTATTAAACACATTTTATATTAACAACTAATTATATTTCTGAACAATTCTATACATTTTTTACTTTCAATCCAAAACTTCTGAATAACTACTATACCCACCTTAAAAACATGAGGTTTCTCAAACTGCATTACATCAATATCATCTCCATTTTCATGAAAAGATTTATCACTGGAAGAATTCTAAAAAAGGTTCAATTTGGGATTAATATAGCAAAAATTTGTATTTCATTATTTAACAAAAACTATACACCTGAAACACATAACATACTAAATCTATAAGACTAATCTACACATCTATCACATTAGGAATTAAAAATAAAATTTAAAAAAAAAGCACTGCTCTGAATCATCATTCATTCTCAACTTATTTCTCACCCATGCTTACATCTAAGGTTAGCTTGTAATTTAGGTGGGCTTCCCTCTTTCAGTCGCAAAATATACGTATAAGCTTTTGATATACACAATTTCTATCATTATTGCCATCTGTTATTTACACAGAGTCCACAAAAAGAAACAAAAAGTATACACATTTCAATAGATTAGATTTGTAGATCTTTTTAGAAGTTGCATCAAATGATAGCAACTTGAAGCATGATCTCCTCTTGTCTGTGAAATGAATATGTAACATAACAGAAGTAAATTAATTTTTTCAAAACACAATTACATTAGGAAGAAGCATAACATTTTAAATATGTATCTCAAGATTAAGAATGGAGTTGAAGTTATTAGCAGCACAAATTCACAACACAACTTACAACACGAGATTCACGAATTCACAACACAACTTACAGCACGACATTCACGAACCTTTACGATAAAGTTGAGATGCATATCATTTGTGATACACATGTGTTAGAATTCAACAGGCTGCTTTGCCCAGTAACAGTTCTGTTTTATTAGCAATGGTGTTGGAAAAGTTTACTCACTCACCACAAAAATCTGCTACACTATATATACTGGGACTGGACAGGACAGAGTGGGTGGGACACTGCAACTTCACCAGTGATTTTGCAGGCATAGTTGATCCCACACTAACTTTATTTAAATTTTCAAAGAGAACAGCACAGGGATGGATCCATGGATCTCCCATCCCTCTTTCCTATCTACAGGACCACCAAGCCTATCTACAGGACTTCAGGCTAGCCAGTAATTTAGAAATCCTCATGCATTGTACACTCACAAACATCCACGCCTTCTGGATCCCAAAGCGAACAGAAAAATATGGCAGCCAGTGTCGCTGCGAAGCAGAACAAGTGTGGCTTACATGGATGAGAATTTCCAAGCATGCTGAACAGCAGAAAGAACAGCGTTTGAATTCCCACTGCAGTTGCTTTATTCAAAACCTTTACTCTTATAATAAGGGATGATAAATAGTATGCGATGCTGAAAACAGGCTACAGGCAGACTTAACTATATAAATTAAAGCAGCATACATAACAATTTCCATGTACAATTTTGACAGTCACTGCTTGAGAACCAGTTCACCATTGTAATAAGTGTCTGCCCATTGAAAGCTATCGCTTACAACAAACACCATTTGTAATTTAAAGGCAACTCTGTATTCATCTCATAATGAATGCATAAATAAATTTAATATTAAAACATATTAAAGAGTATAAACGTATTTTTGCAGACTCTGTGTAACACCACTGATAAAACTTATAATACTAAAAGGAAAAAAAAAAATATCTATTGAACACTATTTTAAACTAAAATTTTCAATAAAAATAATCTGTCAAAAAATTAATTTTACCATTTTATAGTATTGTCTAAAAATAATTCTTCCCTTCCTTCACTCAGACTGCAAATACAAATATGTAGATTTTTATCTCATACATTTTTAAAAGGGGAGAAAGTATGGCATTTCTCTTCCACACTTTCAAAATACTATCACCTCACTTTTTTAATTATTGCATGTTTTTTGCATCACTGTATTTAAAAGCTATAATTATCCATGCTAAGAATACAAATATTGTGTGAAGTCTATGGCACTATGCAAAATTTTTTACCTGCATTTCAATAATACATATGTACAGACACAATATTCACAAAAAATACAGTACTTATGATTTTTACCTCTACTGGAGGTCTATCATATTCGTGGAATGTTTCAGGCTTAGATAATTCCTTTTTTAAAGCAAGTTCATCTTTAGCATGTTTAAAGGTGCTTCTGGAATGATTTCGAGTCATTTTTCTTTTGTATGAATTTAAAGTCATATAAGGACTGTCTTCATATTTAGACTCCATACACATAGTAGCAATGTAATCCCCAGCATGAGCATCCAGGTACAGCGAAATGAGGCCATCAGCAACAAGATCCTGTATAGTATCAAATCTCTTCTCCCCCACGTAATGTTTTCCATCATAATACAATTTAAAGTTCTTCGTTACTCCCCCAAACCTATATCAATGAAAGCATATCTTACAAAAAAACTCCATAATGACAAAAAGATTTTAGATGAAAACAGGTAATGCTTCAAATAATATTCAATATTCTTTTTATAATAACAGACTGAATTTTAAAAGTTAGATTTATTTTGCATTCATTTGTAAAAACAAAAAATTTCACAATAAAAAAACTAATTCAGTACACACTAAGAAGTGCTGTTACATAATAAATTAAATAATTAAAATATGTTTAAAGAAATTAACAAATATATGTTGTGTTACTCTTTCATTAACTATTTCTACTGACTATTTCTACTGACACTTTAATTAGAAGACCAAAAATGCCCCACATCTCTGTGCTTTGGAAATTGATTTCAGATAAATTCAAATCCAAACATCTTTTACAGAATGCATTTTCAAAATGTGATAATTAAAGTATTATTCCATTGTACAGGTTCGTGGATTTGGAGTGATTGATGACAATACTTAGTGAAAACTCAACACACAAGTTATTAGCCAGTAAGTGCTGTTACACAGGTTAGTTCGAAAGGCACATTAACAGTCATCAAAAAACTATGATAAACATGCTGAAACAATCAGCAACACAGTTTTCAGGCTATAACAGTGAAGACAGCTATCGCGGCAAAGCACTAAAGTTCAGCTTCCGATGCAGTCGATCGTTCCAAAACTAATCTCTGAACTCAAGTCACTACTACACTACTAAATTCAAGATACTCCTTTCTCCCAGGATATTCAGGGTATATATCGCTTTAGCATACTTTAAAGAATATTTATGAGGAAACCGCTAAGAATGTGTTCTGGAATATTCTCACTCCGTTTATGGCATGTCACTAAATGGGTGATTTCATGTCAAATCTGGAAACCCTAACCTATCCTACCACAGTTGGGTATTTTGTAACGGTATCATAGAACTTGCAATGCATTTGTGATAAATATTTACAGAAGAGGTTTCTGGAAATAATAATGAATTTGCTGCTGCTATTATGTGGCATATGAAAAGTAATGAATGACAATTAAGGAAGAAAAGATCAGGTAAATGAACTGAAAGTTTTTAAATGCAATCAACAGGGCAAGAATTGTATATTATATCATTATATATATATATAACAACCTCTAGTATATGTAGCAAAGCATAGTCTATAACAATTCTATAATTTGGCCCAGGACACCCCAATAGGATGATCAGCAGCAAGATAACTTGAAAACCATGAACGGATATTGAATTCTGTGGCTGTCCGAATGTAAATTTGTAATCCAGATATTTCAGCATTTCAAATGAGACTACTGTAAGTACCTAAGCACATCAAAACAGCAGCAGCTGTGTTAAAAAATTTGTAGCAGACAAACCCTCAAATAACTAACTGGCCTTACCCCCCCCAAAAAAAAAATGCACAGACACATACAGAATCTTTATATACATAAGTCTGTTCAGCTATGAGTTTCATTCATTACATTTATTATTTATGGATACCAATAAGTTTTAATTTTTGATGCGCTAGTTCACATTTTTGGAAAAATTCATATAAAAAATACAAATTTCTGTTAATATGTATGAATAAATAAAACTACTTGAAAAATGCAGCCAAAACACAAAAACTTAAAATTTTTTAAAATTACCTACGTGGGTTCAGCTGCTAATTTTAACTGACAATTCTAAATGCACTCAAATCAACTGCATTCTTTCAAACCAATTTCACATTTAAGATTGGAAGACCTTTTTTAAGTACCAGTATTAAAGATATTTATGTTCTAACAATTTTTGAACACAAACGTTTTAAACTTCCATAATATTCAAGGTACACTAAAGATTTTGTTAAGAAAATACATTCAGCATAAATTACGTAGATAAAGTACCGTACTTCATGCTTAATGTATATTGACCCACAGCTCTCTGACTTTCTCGAACTAAATAACATCCATCTTCAACCAAGAGGCGTTCTGCTTCTTCTCTCGATATTTTCCCATGAAATCTGAAAATGAAGTGCAATAATCAATGAAAAGAAATGTTAATACTACATGCAATAAGGCATTTTTACTACAATAAGCCAGTCCTCAAATATTTTCTTCTTTCTTGTTAGGTACATATAAGTAAAAAAGATGGCAAATACTACACTTTACTTAACATTGTACTTTCTTGTTAAAAGACAGAATGCTGAATGAAAATCTAACCTCTTAACAGTTTTGCCCGTAGCATCATATCAGCGATCCCTTTTCTGTGCAGCCCGATTTGTCTGTATGTGGTTCAGAAATGTCATTTTCAGCATTTTAGTTACTGACTATTCCATATTATTTACTTTTAGTTTCTCTGTTTCTAAATGGTGTTACCTGACAATAAGAACAAATTCATAGGGTCCCCCCCCCTTGTTTGCTATTGAATTCATAGTGAAACATTTGCTTTCTTGTAGATACATTGTGTTGCATTTGCTAAATATTTCACTTAGTACAGTTTTGTTACATATTACTAAACTTTTGTAATCTTATTATAAGCATAAAACAACATAAGTTTTATTATTGTAATTTTTGTTTATTCCTGGTTTCATAATTTATCGAAAAATAGCATTCCTGAGCCTTTGTTTAAAAAATAGAGCATAAAGTAATGTAATATTAAGTTACACCAAAAATTCCAGATGTGCAATAAATACAAAATGTAAAGCTATGTAAAATATTTATTACTCCCGCATGTGTTAGACAACATTACAGGATAATTTACATAAAATAAGCTTACTACTAATACTTAGGCATGTGCAAAAAGCCAACATTATAAGGGTAATTGTAACTTCTCTTCATATATACAGTAAAAGCTCCACTATCTGGATAGCTTGGGAAATGATGAGTTATATATACATGAGCATATAAAATAGCCAGTGCACAGTAGAAAGCCAAATCAATAGAAAAAGAAAAAAAAATTCTGGTCTGAAATGATAAAAACAGTAATTTTACTTGTTGTTAACTTGAATATCAAACACTTACATTTAAAGTATGTGAAATTTTGAAAGAAAAAAGGGCATTTCAGATATAAACGCTGAAGTTAAACATTGCATTCAATTATAAAATTTCATCAACCAGAAAAACTGGCAGAGATCTCACTAAATTTGCACCAATCACTGTGGCAGATTGCTCTTTATCAAGTAAACATCATGTAGAATCAACTTGTATAAATTAGACACACAAAAATTTTAAATAGCTTATCATAATTTTTCATGTTGTACAGCAAATGTTCATCCCTTTTCATGAAAGTCACAATTTTCTTGACAACGGGATCCAGTAACCTTGAAAATACTCCACTGTATGTTATACTGTTTAAGTCAATTCTCAAAATTTAACCCATTTTTCAAAATGGCACTGAAAAACTGCTACGTAATAGTTCACTTATATAAAATTTAAAAAAAATTAAACCAACTTATCAGGAATTAATTAGGTTTATGATGAAGCAAAAATCTTACGATTGCATTGAGATGTCATTACTAGAACTAAATTGCATTATTCAGTGAAAGTTTTGTTTACTTTGAGTCATAGACCTTTATGATGAAGTTGCAAGTTTCTTATTTGCTTAATTTTTTTTTTTTTTTTTTTTTTTTTTTAACAAACAAAAAGCTGCTAAAATTCAAAAATATTTCAGCTATTTGACCATTCCGGTTAGTTGAATGCAGGATAGTCAGGCTTTTACTTTACTTTATTTTTCACACATGAATGACCTTTATTGCACACAATTCATCTAAAAATAAAATTTCTTCTTCCAAATTTTGGAATCAAAAATAGATAATTTTGGGAGAAGCTGAGACTGGTTAAAATACAACAAACCTTAAAACAGTTTTAAAAAAGTTTCAAAATATTCAGAAAGGTTTGTCTCCGATGGAAAAAACATTCAAGATGGAACAGTTGAATGCTTCAATCTCATGAATATTTTAAAAGATCCAAAAATTCAATCTATACTTTTCTAATCATTTGAATCCTAACCAATAAGGCGTTATATGTTTCAAAACTAAACTCAGGAAAGACTAGTTTCATTAATGTACAGCAACTTTCATTTAAAAAAATAAATAAATGACTGCTACAATTTTTATGGTAAATAAGTCACCAGTATCAGCTCATTGCAGTTCTGTGTGTCACACTGTCTCAGTAATATGTTGCAATGCATTGGAAATGGCCAAAATTTTGTAGCAAGTACTGAACTGTACTTTCTCAAAAGCTCTTAAATCATCTCAATAATAATTCCATACACAGATAACCAACTACTAATAAATCTTAGATGTTTCTGGCAATTAATTCCATGATATGCAAGTGCTGTTTCAAACACAACTCCACTTGTCTACCATTTAAACTCTTCAGCCATGGCTTCCTTTCAGTAGCATGCAGTATTTTAATCCGATATTTCTACTAGAAGATAATTCCATTAGTCTGCTCAGATCCCCATAAAGATTTTGGAAAAATTTTAAAACATTTCAGCCATTATTTAAATATTTTTTGTCAAATTATGTTGAGAAAATAAATCTCGAGAATTCTAATTATATACGAAATTTAATTTGCCGCTGGCTAATAAATTGCTTTTCAATAAACGTTCTCCAAAATTTTAAATTAAATTCTTATTAAAAACTTTCTCAAAACAAAAATTCTGCTTAAGTTGAAATTTTTTTATAGATTTCTACTAGAAAAGACAAATGACTTCCTCATCGATAATTCAGCTTCTACATAAAATAAGTCACTAGCTTTACTTTTATCATATGCACATTATTCAGTGTATGAAAATGGCATTAAAAACACAGGTGGTTTATGAAAATGGCATTCCATTTCTTTTTAGTAAGAGATTTTGCTGACAAAAAGATTAATATAGTTTTCAATTATTAACTTAAATAGTTTAAAATCAGTTTTATAGATATCTATACAATAATTTAATCAGGTTTAAATGTCAAATCTTTAACAGTAAGGTATATTTATCTGCTGTGAAAAGTTTTATCATGATTTTGCTACTTTTGATTTTTAGGAGAAAGCAACTACAGATTTTTTAAAAATTTTTATTTATTTATTTATTTTTTGCCCAGGGTACTAAATATGGTAAGGCACTAAGTTTAGAACTCCCATGACACACTGATTTTGTGGAAAACATTTCACAAATTTTTTTAACCACTTCAGTTTTGGCTTGTGTTTGTCTTGTGCTGGTTTTCCCGCACAAGCAGCCCATGATCTCAAAGTGTTTCATCCACCATTCGATGGTTCTTTACAAAATTTCGCGTGATAATGCTTTTGAAATAACAATAAACGATGATGTTTGGGTGCAGAAGAAACCATAGTATGCTTTCTTCTGCATGGATGACACCATTTTGATTAACAGTGCTTGTAATGACGATTCGTTACTGGAAGATTTTTCATCACTGCCAGATAAAACTTGCATAACTGTAGTTTCAAAATTTGTTTTCACTTAAAAAAAAAAAAAAAAAATTAAAGAATTTGTACTAAGCTACTCTTTTTGTACCCATTAAATATGAAACACCCAGTACCAACAAAGCAATCGCATATCGCTACCCAGCATGGCCAATTCAGGGTTAGGCTTGACTATCATTCAGGTAGTGGTTTACGTTTTTATGCCATTGTGGTAGAGCATCGTCTTCCTGCAGAATGAAGCAGAAACTGCTTCCACCAACTAAGATAACATCAATTCTGATAGCATATCTAGGTAGCATAGGTCATAATTTTTTTAACCTTTTCCCCACAAGACTAATTTTTTTCATGAATTGAAGCCATTTAGTCAAATATTCAATTTAGCATGGCACAGAACAACAAACTGACATAGTCTGCCATTTCCTGCTCCGTATTAAGTAACAAATTTCCATAGTAAAGTTAAATTTAAGACTTATCGAACCCCCTAACTGCAACAAATGTATACATACACCTTACTCAGCCGATGCTTTAACTGTCCGAGGCATATATATACACCCTTCCAAAATACTATCATTTGCTTTGTGCTGCTACCAGTAAAACAGCATACAAAGTTTTGGAATGCAACATCACAATGACTTTGACAGAGTATGCAAAAGATACTATTTCAGAAAAAGGGGGAGGAATTCGAGACTGGGATGTTTCTAAAACGCTGAAAAGTAATGACTGCATGGCTATTGCTCGTATTTCTGTTCGAGTAAAACATTTTTTTTTTTTTTTTATTCTGCGTCTGCTGTTTTCATTTACTGTTTGCAACAGTTTCTTTTTGTAGTAGGTGGTGATGAAAGTAATAACTGTGCCGTTATAGCTCGTGTTTCTGTTTGAATAAAAAGTATTTGTTTTATTCCGGGTCTTCTGTTTTAGTTTACTGTTCGTAGTGTGTGTCGGGAATAAAGAAAGATAACGGATGTTCCAAATCCACGTATCTTTTTTGATAAACTGCTCGTCCTTCATATTGTTACTGAAACTGTTTTGCAAACCAGTATATGAACCAACATCCTGCAAAAGAAAAATCAAGAACAAAACCCTGGCAGCCAACCAATACAGAAGAAATATGTTTTTTTAGGTATACTGATTTTACAAGGTATAACACTGAGACCAGATATTACACTTTTAGACTTACACTGGTCTAAAAATAAATTAATCTCAATTATTGGGGATCTTTTTTATTATGATTATACAAAAATAATATTTATTACACTTACATATTTTTTATTATATTTTTATTCTAAACATTAAATTTTGTATTTTAATTTTTTATTTTATTCCTTATTTTGTGTAAGTAAACAGTTTTTAGACATCAAAACTTGCACTTATTTCCCCCCCCCCAATACATCGCATAACTATGTGCGCTTGTGTAAAAAAACAGTGGCACTAGGGAGTGAATCTTATACATTTTCCGTGGCAGTTAAGGGGTTAATGTAGTGAAAACATGAAACATTATGTCCTAGTTCTCAAAAAAAGGTTAATTTTTTTTTTTTTTTTTTTTTACTTATCTCTTTCTTCTCACAATAAGCAACACTTACAAGAAGTTATGAGGCTAGGTCACAGCAGTATTACAGTATCCAGAACTTTGTTCTTGAGAATGTATTTTAAAATTACACTGCAAAAGTTCAAAAAGTTTGCCCTTCCATGTCCCTATGTTTTAGCCTAACAAATAAAGGAAATAAAACTCTTGAATTTTCTCTCTTAAAGAGGAATTTTTCCTTATGAAAGTAATTGCGATCATAATTTAGCCAATACTCATATTTTACATTCAGAAATTTCGGAAGAGTAATGAAGATATAACAAAAGTATGTAGCTGCTGAAATTACATGTTGATTTCCTTTATTTAATACTTATCTAGAGTAAAAACTATTTTTCTTCTCAATTTAATCCTATATGGCAATACAGAATCTCTTTATTCTTCACCCGCTTTGATGATCCACATGATTAACTCCTGTATTTTAGAATAAAGTATACTCTCTGATTATTTGTATCACCACTAAGAAGGTGAGAACTTTTTACTGACTGCACAACATTTATTCATTTGCAATTAATTTTTCACAAACTATGGCACAAAAGGCAACAGTCAGTTTCAAAATGGCACTTCTCTAAGAATTTCATACAAGAACAGTCAACCAATTAAAAAGTAGGAAATACTGGTAATAAAACATTTGCCATTTTTGTGATTTTTTTTTTTTTTTTTGGACCACTGTTCTCCCCATGTACATGGCAATGTTTTGTTTTAAAAATAACATCACAAACTCAGCCTAACACAACTTTGGCACTGCGAATTGGCCCAAATAACCATGTGTTACTTGTATACCTAGGTGGGGTTTTTTTTCTGTTGTTTTCCCCATCTGCACAATGATCTGTCTTCACTTAAAAATCAGAGAACTGCACAAACTCGGAATCCTACAAATTTGGCATTAAACAATAGAAAGACATGCTATGCACATAACAGAGTTGATACATAAATACTTTTTATATCATGGTTTGCCACATAACTATTTATTTTAACAACAGTCCGCTTTACCTCAAGAATAATTTTTTGGTGACTTTTAGTAGACAAGTGGATAATTAGAAAGTATTAAATCAAATTTCATATGAAATTGTTGCACCAAAAAATGTGCCATCCAGGATATAATATCCTGTTCACCCTACTACGTCACAGCAAATAAAATCAAGTCAACCACAATTATTTTCAAACATATACTTCATAAATAGCTTACTCTCTTCCATAATGCGATGGCTTTCCATGTACCTACAAAAGAATAACAACATCTGTAAAAATGTACTATATTTCATTTAACAGTTGAAGAAAGTACCAGATTATAGATATAAAGCTTAAGATCTAAAACATACCTCTCGGTTACAGAGAATTCTTTTTGGAATAGGAGCCTGTTGTTGTAACTGATATACTAAGAAAGAGAATTTCCCTTGAAAATGTATTCTTAAAAACACATAGTATCGAAAACAAAAAAGGAATTTTACTAAAATTAAGAAAACAACATACAATATGATTTCCACAATGAGGGAATTTTGCTGGGAGGTCTGTTTCTCCAGTGCCCATCAGATGAAAAAACAACTGCAAGTATTGAAAAGAAATATAAAACATACTACATAACAACTATATGCTTCCAAAATGAAATTAACACAAGTCTAATCCAAAACCACCACGAAAAAATTAAGATAATATACAGCAACAATAGAAAAATTTAGCTGTCAATTTATAATATTTATACATTATAAATGGTAATTATTTTGAAAGATATTAATATATACATAAATTACATAAGAAAAGTTGGCTAATCTTTGGAATATGGTAACGGGTAGTTTGGCGACATTTTTGTAAGGCGATAAAGGTTACTAGCTAGGACTTTAGCAGTGTACATGGATAAAGTTAAGAGGGTGCGCAATGCCATTTTTGTGCAATTCTGCGATATTTTTTTTAAGTGAAAATAGGTCGACGTGTACATGGACGATACCGTGTATGTGCAATTCTTAAAAACGCGGCAAGCAGTGGGCGATTCTGCACTTTCTCCCAATTTCGCACCTAATCTTTGTCATGATTAAGCACTTTTGTTCCAGAAAAGCTCTAGCATAAGTGTAATTCGTCAAGCAGATTGTTGGAAAGAATGTTGAGGGGGGAAAAAATCATGCCTTACTTCGTGAAAACAAAATGGCGTCCAAAAAAAAAACTAGCAGGTTGCTGTAGCAGGGTTGGTCGCCAAAAAATCGCCAAGTTACCATAATCCGAAGATTAACCGAAAAGTTTAATGTTACAAAGACATATAAGAATTATTATATTAGTTGCTTATAATTTATCTTGCATCATATAGATTTATCTTATTCTACCCTTGTATAAGGACATTCTACCCTTGCTTTTACTGTGATAGTTGCAATTGCTTCATTAGTAGATAACAAAAGCATTTAGATGTACAAAGTTGACAATCTAATACAAATTAGAGCATATATGGTATTTTAGCACTTTGGTGGTCATGAATGAGATTAGCTCACATTTGAGATCTGCAAACTAGCATGCATAAATTGCTTCAGTTAATTGGGAAAATATTTCTTTAATGGCACACAAATAAATTTTCCTCAAAAGCACATCTTTAATCCAATGTGAAGAGCTGAGCTGCTCATATTCTTAGAAATAATCCTATATTCTTTGAGTTAACCTCCAAGAACTAACTCGTAAAACTTACCCAGTTTACAGAATACAAATGATTTTATATGATCTACATAATTTTCTGCATAATCGCAGAGACCTCTGCTTTGCATCCAGACTTAGTTTACATTTGAGTGGTGATTTTGTTGCTAAAGCAGCAGAATACAGGGTTTGTCCAGAAAATAGTACGACTGAAATTTTTAAAAACAATTTATTCATAATTTTGAAACATCGTCTTATAATTTTCTAAATATGCCCCTGCAACATCAACATGGCATTTCCAGTGACTTTGCCAATCACTGAAGACTCCCTGGAACCCAGAAACAGAAATGCTCTTCAGCTCCTTTGTTACAGCCTCTTGAATGGCTTGGCCCGAGCCGTGGTGCCATTCTTTCATGACCCTTTTCAGTCAGGAGGAGAGGAAGAAGTCTGAAGGAGCAACATCTGGACTGTAAGGTGGCTGGGAAAGCTGTGTGACATCATATTTTGTCAGGAAGTTCATGACAACGAAGATGCTGTGGTTCGGCACATAGTCATGATGGAGCCTCATGATCCAGCGACTGCTGGACGAATGTTGGCGACTCATTTTCGGAGTCTTTCAAGTACAGGTAGAGCCTCAATATCTGAATTCAATCCATAGTATTTTTATATGGATTGAATTCGAATTGATTTTTATATGGAATTTTTAATATCATATAATATTTTTAATTACAAACTGAAGTCATCTGTATTAGTTGTTTAAAAACAATGACTGAAAGGATTTACATACAGCTATGATAATATAAAGTTAAATTCTCACTTTCTGGCAGCAAGATGAACTACAAAATATTAATCTGACTTCGCAACTTTTCTTAATCCAAGAAAACTCCACAGCACAATAAATAAATAAATAAATAAAAGAATACGAAACAAAACCCAAATGCTGCTAATATCTCAACATATTTTCCTCATATGAAAAAACAAGAACTTGGTAAAACTGAATTTAAAATATTAATTTTTAAAATTTATAACTTAAAAAAGATATTCTACAGTACTTAACTAATAATGAACACTAGATTAAAATTTTAATCATCCAAATTCAAATGACTAAAGGACACTAAATAAAAAAAAAAAAAAAAAAAAGTATTAAGTTTACACCCTTTCCCACACAGACAAAGTAAAACACATTCACGCAATCAAACAACATTATGAAAAATTTAAAATAAAAGACACTAACTCCAGCTAAAGTAAGAAATTAAACAGCCCTAACTAATACGGTCAAAAGTCGTTAATTCGGACACCCATAATCCGGACCTCAAAGCTACAAACTTTCTGCGCATGCGTCGCGTTCACGCATGCGCATAGGCGTTTACGAGTGCGCGTTAAGACCTTTACGGCTGCGAATATGTGTGTGCGCATGCACGTTTAATATGTAACGGATGGTATAAGATAAGCTAAAATTATCTAATTCAGTTAATGTTGCAGATTGCGTTGTTCCTTAATCTTTGAATTGGATCCGGCTTATTATTTTTTGCAGACTGTTAGAGCAATTTTATAAAAGTAAGCTTGAACTTTCGATTATGTCAAACAGAATTTCCGATATATATTTATTAATACGTAAAGGATCTACAAAGCGAAAGTATGTTTCGAAATTCGAAATCCGTTTATCAATTTCACACTGCGGCGCGCAATGAATTGGAAGTTGATCTGTCAGCACTATCCTTATCTTCAGGGCAGATGTTTTTATTTTATTTGGCCTTATAATTCCTTACTAAATGTAGTATTTCATCTCGATGTACTTCGTCTTTGATATGATTTAAATCAAGTTCCTCGTCATTATAATTCGCTTCCGATAGTGAAGAAAGTGACCCAGAGGTTATTGAAAACGAAAAAATTTCGATTGACAAATTAGTCGGTATTCTCAACACAGCAATTATAGGACTTGAACAGCGGAACTTTGTAACTAAACAAGAAATTATGTCTGTTTAATAGAATTAAAGAGAAAGTATTATCACATGAAACGAAGCAACTTAAACAACTTACATTGAAAGAAATGTTTAATAAAGTAAACAAATAAATATTAAGCTTTTTCTTTTTGTAAATTTTGATACCCTTTAGATCATAATTGTTCTTTATTTCATAAATTACGGTTTCATATTTTTAATTTTGTAATTTCTGCATGCCATCTTTCCAGATTTAAACTGATGATCTATAATCCGGAAAAATCGATAATCCAGAATCACCGAAGTCCCGACGAGTTCGGATTAACGACTTTTGACTGTATGTAACAAATTACACTTTCAGGGATCCATAACTATCAGCTCACCCTTTTCTCAGTGATTTTGAAAAAAGAGTAGAATATCCTAAATTTCCAAGAATCAGTTGCAAACAAATACAGTTAGTCAATAAAGTCTGCGTACATCAAGAAAAGTAATATCAAATCCAAATTTTAAGGTGCAAAAAGGGTAGTTTCTTAAAGTTTTATTTTTTAAATATTTAGTTTCAATAAGTGACTTTGAAACTATTTAATTGTAATATTTTCATATCTAATAATTTATGCACACTAATTTTTAAAAGATAAGTGGCCAGAAATCAAAGCTAATAAATTTGCGTACAACGCGAAGGAGGTGGGGGATTTCTTATCTAACTTTTAAACTTCAAATTTGAGAATGCAAAGAAGGTCACACTTTTAAGGTCATTGACTTCCGAAGCAAATTTCACGTTGATTGGAAGTTGCTATTTCTATTTTCTTTGACGAAAATGACAACCAATAAAGAAATTCCTTTAGTTACGAGACAACTAATTATCAAATTGAGAGATGAAGGTAAAACTCTTCGTTATATTGGTAAAACCATTGGAAAATCATTTTCTAGCGTGCAAAGAGTTATTCAAAACTATCTTGACACTGGTAGTCTTGCTGTAAAACCAAGATGTGGGAGACCGAAGAAGCTAACGGAGAGAGAAGAAAGAAAAATTCTTTTACGAATTAAACAAAATCCTAAACTTTCTGCTGCAAGCATTGCAAAAGACATTTTTTTAACTAGCAACAAGGAAATTTCTCCTAAAACTGTACGAAAAGTGCTGCGAAAGTCCAATTATCGTAGACGCAAACCTAGGTCTAAGCCATACATTTCTGAAACAAATAGAAAGAAAATAATTGCTTTTGCCAAAACATATTTAAACTCTTCACAGGACTTCTGGAACAATGTAATTTGGTCAGATGAAAGTAAATTTACAATATTTAAAGTTAATGGCCACCCTATTGTATAGAGAAAACCAGGAACAGAACTGAATCTGAGAAATTTAAATCCAACTGTCAAACATGGAGTTGGCGGTGTGATGGTATGGGGGTGTATGTCGTCGAAAGGAGTTGGAAATTTTCACATTATTGATAAAGTCATGGATAAGTATGTTTATCTGGATATTCTGAAGAAAAATCTACGAGACAGTGCCCGAAATTTAAACCTTTAATACCTTTATTTTCCAACAAGTCAACGACCCGAAACATACAGCTAAAATTGTGAAGGAATATCTCCTCTATCACACTCCAAGACAGTTGCGTACTACTCCACAGTCACCAGACCTCAATCCAATCGAACATTTGTGGGCAAAATTGGAGAAACGAATTCGAAAACACAATATTAACGTCGCGAATAAGCTAATTAGTTAATTGCAGGAAGAATGGGCGAAATTTACGTCGGATGACACTGAAAAACTAGTTCAGTCAATGCCCAGACGTCTGCAAGCTGTTTTGAAGAATAAAGGATATCCTACAAAGTATTGAAGCAATATAAAAAAACTTATATTTTGCTTTTTTTTTTTTTTTTTTTTTTTTTTTTTGAAAGTGTACGCAGACTTATTGGAGGGAATTTCTGAGTTTTTTTGACAAAATATATTTTTGAAAAAAAGTAAAAAGTATTGCACTGATATTATTTACTTTTTTATTTAAGCTTACAATTTTAGCTAATAGAAGAAAAAAAAATTGCAATGATCAAAATACATTTTTCTATGCTTTAAGTGTTTTTTTAATTTAAAATTTAGTCTGTATGCAGACTTTTGTGACTAACTGTAGCTCATTCTTAAAATAAAAAATTTCAAAATTATCTTGACACTGACCATTCACATCCTATTCAAAATTTACAAAATATTACATTTCAGAATATATTTTTTTATTTACAAATAAACAAATAAAAAAATAAGATACAATATTTTTAAAATTTGTTGCTTTTTTGTCCTATACTACCTGCTATCATTTTAAACATACAGTTTTATTCATATTTTTGGTGTATTTCATTTGCACAAGACTATCTTAACTATAATCACATATAATAATTAAAAAATATGGTCTACCAAATTTCACAGCTGAATATAAACATTCTACACACTTTCACTGTCCCCAAAAGTTATCATTTACCAGATATTTAGTATATAATTATGCTTTGGAAAGAATGCACTGAAGTGACAGGATTATATGGCCCTTTCCCCGTTTTATCAAAACATAGATACTTAAATAAAATAGCCACATTAAGGACAATTATTTTTATTCATTTCTTATGTTAAAGTTTAGAACACAATAAATTACACTACATTTTAAAACTGAACTTGCCTTAACAACTTCGACACTCTTAAAATGGCAGAAATTATTTTAATTATTGATTAAAGGTACGAAATTTTCTAATTCACAGAAAACTAATGAAAATATATACGAGGTAACTTTTCGAAACGAAACAGGCAATAATTTTTAGCTAATCTAAATTTCGTGTTCAGGAAGATAAAACGTAAATAAAAGTTAAGACATTTTATGTACTTATTACCTGAATGTGTAACTTCAGCCATAATTTATTTTTAAACTACTTAAAACTGTATTCCTTTTTTACAGTATGTACTTTCCACAAATACACAGAAAACATTTTGAAGTATTTGCTCGAAGTCCACACATTAAGTTACTGATGAATGAAGCAATGTCAACTCCCAATGAATGCTCTGCTACCGTATATAAATTACCATACTTCTATTAACGAAAAAGAGAATTTAAAATTCCACTCAATTACAGTCTCTTAATAACTATATCACAATTTCCCCATCCGGTGTACGGCATGATCGTTTCCATTATGCGCCAGCCTGGTTGCCATAAATTAAAAAACGGACAACGCTTTGTTAAATATTCCATCACCTAAATTCTGAATTATTACATACAACTAATTAATTTTTAGTTGCATTATTCAAAATAGTAGTCTGACTTTTTTTTTTCAATAAACTGATTTTTTTTTTTCAATCAAATGTATCGGCAAATTTGTACCAACTCTATGTTCTCAAAGTGTGCCAAAACTGCAATAAAGTATCAAATGTGAAGATCGGCAGCTGTGTTACGTCATTAATAATAGCAATGTCAATTTTGTGAAACCAATGTCAAGAATGAAATAATTACCAAGCCAATATTTTTTTTTTCTTTTTCTATGAATAACTGCTATATTACTTTCATTATATAGAACATTTTAAATCCTCCAAAAAATTCTCCCTATCCTTTTCGCAGCGCCATCTTTAGTGAACCGGTAGAAGTATATAATTCGAAAATTCTTGCGGCTTTCGTTTCAGTTTGAAGTTTTTATTCCAGATTTCCGCTTTTCAAGATTTCGAAGCAATGGTGAGTTTAAAAGTTTTTCAAAGGTCTTTGCGTGGTCAAAATATTTAAGTTTTTATGTGTTCAAAATTTTTTATATTATATTCTTTGGTCATCAGAAAAGAAAACTAAGTTCTTTGTCATTTAGTATGCACTTTTCTATAATTGTTACCACATAAAACTTCATTAAAAAATGCTTGAAATAAAACACTGAACAAAAATGACAGAAATGTATTTTAAATATTTGAAGTTACGTGGCTACAAATGAGATTTAGATTAATATTTTTTAAATATTTTTTGTTATATATTTCTTTCCCGTTCTTTCTGTCTCCTTCCCTAAATAGCATTAGATTTCTTTTTTAGTGAAAACTGTTTCACATATCTTAAGCAGAAATTTTTATTATGATTTCGCATGTATGACATATAATGCAATTTCCAATACTCACAATTTTTGTTAAGATTATATGCAGATTATATACACTACAGAAAAATCTTTCCTAGAAAGATTTTTGGAAAATGGCATGAGATTTAAACCGTTTATATTTTAAATTTTATAGAATTTGATTCTAGTTCGGGAAGAAATGCATGAATAAAGAAAAGCGAGAGCTAAGGGAAGAATTTGGTATGATCCAGTATTTAGTTAATTTAATTAAAAATTCTGAAAAAAATTAGAATAAAATTATAGATATTAATAGCTCTTTTAGGAACTACAAAATAGTGATTTTTCCCAGTTAAACAAATAAACAGACAATTATGACCATTTCCCACACACTTTTACTACATTCTAACACTTTCAAAAACTATTACTAAAATTTGAATACAAAAAAGGAAGGAAAATAATTTTTATAATAAAAATAACATTTTTGGGTTATTGTATTTCAATATAAATGCATTAAAATTGTTTTCTCTGAAAGAATACATTATTCTGTACTGAAAATAAAATACTTTTCTAAAATCAAAAAATAAATAAATAAATAAAGGAAGAGACAGAGAGAGAATATATTTGATAAATATATATATAATATATATATATATATATATATATTCAGCACACTTATTTACTTAAAAATATCATTTTGCTTCTGAAAATTTTAATTTGAATGCAATTTACTGCTACTTTACTACTTATCAAATTCAAATTTTTCTTTTGTCATTATTCACTTTTTAATTTAATATTTTAAATTTTCTATATTAAATTTTATAACAATAGTGGTCTTATTTTGGCGAAATATTTTGGTTTCTTTTCCCTTTTTCCCTCCCTATTACATTTGCATTTATTGCTTTAGAAAGTTCATATTCATAAGACAAGAGAATAAGTCTTAAAATGGAAGTTCAGATGAAATCTACTGTAATGAAATAACTTATATTTTAAACATAAGCAAGGAATTTCTCCTTTAAGTTTTCATCATCATTTCAGAAAAGCACGTTTTTAGAGAAGTAGTATTATATTATTATGAGTGTTTAAAGGAATGTTTATTTTCTACATTAATTTAAACACATTAACATAATTTTACATTTTCTTTCCATTAAATATTGCCAATACTAAAACTTTAAACGTTTCCTTTTGATTAGTGCGAAAGATCTTTTAAAACGGATTAAATATGAATCGAACAAAGGAGAGCGACTTTTATATTTGAATGCTTTGGTAAATAAAGAATCTCTGTTTAAAAATTAGACAAAATTCATCTTTCGTTTGAGGAGAGCTTTATAAAAAGATTCTCCGTATTCTGAAGGACTCATGTCATCTTGCCTTGAAAAACGTATTTTTTTCTGTACAGTTAACATCAATGTGAGGTTGGATATGCCCTATTTTAAATTTCCCAAATTGGCGCATTCTCTTTTTAAAGTGTAACCATTGCTTTTCTGTATAAAAATGCAAATACAAAAGATAGTATCTAATGGCATCATTTTTTGAAAATCGTTTTAAGAGCATTTGAGGTGCAATTTATCGTCTGTAATCTGAAGAAACAATCATTCAGTGCATTTTTCAACTCGAAATAAATCGAACTATTTATGCGCTATAATTGGCTGGCCAGTGAACGAATAGATTATATCACTAAACTCTGGTAGTTGCGTAAAATGTTCGATACGCAATAAAATTTGATACAATGTTATAGTTAAAGTATCAGCTAACTACTTTACAATTCTTAAAGGCTGTTAATGAATTTTCTTGCCTTGTGACGTTTTTGCTAGAAGTATTACAACCAACGTAAAATCTCAAATAAACGTATTTCTTAATAAATCGCCCTGATGGTTCCAACAATTGAAATTTACTAAAAAAAAGAAAAGTCTGCTATATTGAGGGTAGAATAACAGTTTCTCAACATAAATTCCAGTTAAACAGAATGCTATTCGCACTATTAGCAAAGCCTAACTTAAACTATTTTTTAAGCAAAGCTAACTTAAACTAAAATTTTGCCGCCACTGTAATGCAAACAGAAGAATGTCAAAGTACAGTAACGGTCAGCTTAAGCTGCTAAATGCTCTCTGATAAACTCTGAAACTAACTCTTATATATATTTTATACTAATTTGCTTTCTGGTGAAAGTTGATGAAAGCAGGAGTAAAGAAAAGCCAAAAATACAATTTAACTGATAAATTAAAATAAACTTTTCGCGTTTTTCTTTTAATGTAACGTATCGACGAAAGCTTATGAAGTCTTTTAAGAGGAATATTCTTCTCGTAGATTGATAACCTTCGCAGGGTTTGCTGCACTAACTATACAGCCGTTTGCTGAATCCCTTTAACAAAGCATGCAGACTTTGAAAATTTATAACTGTATCATCGGTTATAATACATCAGAAATATGGGGAGGGGGAATGCATATAAAATCTTTGACAGTTCTTCGGGAAAAAAATCTTAATTTAGCGATAAAATATTAAAATACATTGTAAGTGTTTTTAACAGCGTTTTAAGCCAAGCTCTCTTTAACTTAGAAATTTAACATAATGCAAATAATTAAACTGCCATCTGCCTAAAACATAAACGTATTGGCATTTATGAATCTCCAAAGGAATTCGAAACATATCCAAACTTTCGATTTTGAGCTTCAAATGAGATGCAGTCCATATGCTTTATTATTAAACTGATTGTTCAATACAGCTTATTATGCGAGTATGCAACACTTGGTTGCAGTGGCATAGCTAGAGAGAGGCGGTCTGATCCAGGCGGCACATTTTTAGGGGCGGAATTTTTTTCATAAAACATTATTTTATTGGGGTTGGTCAGGTGGATCGTCGAGGCAGGTGAAGAGTAATTAGATTCTATATTGCCATGCAGACAACCACCACATCATTTTGTTGTACATTTTTTACTCCGTCGAAACTTTTGAATGCAAATTACGAGCATCAACTAAATTATGATCACGGTTACAATAAGAAAAAATTTCTCGTTAAGGGGGGAAAAAAAAGGCATTTGAGAGGTTTATTTCCGTTACTGCTAGGGAAAACGAAACAGGAACTTGGAAGAGCAGTCTGAATTTTTGCTGTTTATTCTAAAATACAGTCTCCAGAAGTTCTAAATATTGTAATGCTACTGAGAAATTTCCTCTTAATTGCTGTAAATGTTGCTAGCTGTGAGAAGCGTTTTTTAAATAAAATTCATTTAAGAAGTATTTAAGAACTGCAAGTATATATTTTGTATTTAAGAAATCTTTCTTTACTGTCTACATAACAGCAACTGGAGCAATCAAATAGACCCCTACAATCTCATTGGTGATTTAGCAGACAAAGAAACAAGCAAAATAGTCATATAATTTTAAAATGTTGGAATTAAAGTTTTTTACAAAAATGGATGTAGAGTTTTAATTTATTTCTCTAGATGTAGTTTTGATATTGTTTGTATATCAAGAGGAGCCTCAATTTCGAGAACCGCCAGAGGAGGCAAACTCCGAGACCCCCCGGCGGCAAAATTCTAGCTACTCCGCTGCTTGGTTCACTAAAATCGAAACCTATATTCATATTATTTGTGAGACGGCGAATTTATCTCTCTCTCATATAAGAATTATTTTTCCTTATTCAAAAGCCTAAGTTACTACGAGATAGTGAAATTCATTGCTAAATTATTAGAGTTCTTTTAATTTAAGATATCACATTAAGGGAGTTAGTTGCTCATTTCTTTTAGGATGGCGTCAGTTTGATCCCCAAAACAGTGACTATACTTGTTGTAGTTTCCTAAGTATACTCTTGTAAAAAAAATGTAGAGGGGAGGGGAAAAAAGGAAAGGAATTTTAATATCTGAACTTTTACTAATGTCTGAGTATTGGTTTCCTTTATTTTTAAGCTCTTTTTTAAGTTCTTTTCCTTTATTTTAAACTCTATTTAAGCTTTTCCCCCTCTAATGCTTGTATGTTACTCGTGACAAAAATTTTAAGGTATCTTACTGCTTGAAAACTCTTAACAAGATAAAAGTTAAAAAAATCAAAAGCCGCCTGAAATAAATTTAGATTCAATTTGCATAAAGTTTTTTCATTAAATTCAAATACAACTGAGGGAAGCTCATCGAAAATCTGCTGAAGTAAAGATTTCGAATGAATTTAAATGTTATCTTGAAAGCGCTTTCTAAATGATTTTAAGAGTGTCTTAGCCTTAATCAAGCGAAGGAAATATAACTGTATATATATATATATATATAGGCCAACAATGTCAGAGAATATAACAGCCTCATTCCTGCTGTAAAACAAAAACTATTAGAGTAGTTTTAAATCAGACGGATCTCAGAAAATGGAATAAGATGATTTCTGAAATTCTAAGCTTATTTTAAAACAAATAATAAGAGCTTCGCCTTTTAGAAAATCTCGAGGCCTGACGAAGCCTAAGAATTTTTTAATTTACTAGGAACCCGTTTTAGACCATTGATTATTGTCTAATTAAACTTCATGTGGGTAAAAGAACTGTACAGCGACAACTCATAGCAAATTAATTATAAACTTTCCCTATTAAAGCCGCTTATTAAAGTGTCTAATAACTTTAAATGATCTAATATTTTCTTATGAACATATGGCATAAATGCTCATTTCCTTTGTTAACAAGATCATTTCAAGCAACAAACTTGTAAAATGAGAAAAATTCACAGCATGTGAAGTAATTTTTGTGAAAGCTGAAAGTTTCGCATTTCGCGTAGAAGTAATATGATTTTTCTGATTTTAATATGTGGTTTGATTAGGCGTGTGTAATTAATTTTTCAAATTTCGTGCTTAAATATACATATTTAATCTACTTTTGACAAAATAATTCCAAGTATGTGATTTAATCATTTATATTTTTTCCACAGGCTGACCTCAAATCCTCAGAAGTTGAAAGTAAGTGTCATTTTTTTTTTTTTTTAAAAAAAAAAATCAGGAAATGAGTTTAAACATTCCCCGAAAGTTCCAAAAAAGAAAATAAGTGTTTATACTCTCTTTTCCTCCCACATCTAAAGGATTCAAGAGTGCTCTGATTTCCGCTAGAGTGACGTATGTTTTTCTTACGTTCTGCCTCGATATGTTACATTCTTGGCGAATAAGCAGAACTTTCTTAAAACATGTTTTTCGCTTGGCCCTTAATATTCCGCGTGCCATTTTTAGACAGAGTCTCGTGAACCTCTTCCAGATCTTGTCTTGCATACCTTATTAGGGAGAGCACAGATAACACCCCCGCCTGCTCATACTAGGGCTTCGGAAAGCGGCTGTTTACTCAGCGGTTAAGATGCATCACAGACACCTTCCATTCCACCCCCTCCTCCCCTCTAGAGAGCTCTTCACCCCAGCACCATAAATCCCTCACTGCAATTTCAAGGACTTCAAACTTTTTGGCACATATGGCTCTAGACTTAGGCAATGGGACACGGACATCATCAGAGATAATCCATATAGTACTTAGATTTTTTATTCAATATATAAAACTTTAAAAATGTAATGCAGTTTTGGATTACAATGATGATGTTTACATTCATGTGACTTAGAGGTGAAGCATTCGTAGACTTCATATATTACTTTGCTCCTTCCTTCACCTACATAAGTCTGAAAAAATGGGAATTTACTCCTACAGAAAAAGAGAATGAAACTTCCTCATATGTGTGAGAGCGGGCTTTAGAATTAAGTTAAAAAATTTTGCCCGTTATTCTGCAGTGTAAGAATTTAATCTATTATTAAGTTACCTTTAAAAACTTCTTGTTGAATATACAGGTAAAAATAATCGGTCACGGTAACATGAAATTCTATTAAATTACAAAAATTTACGATTACTTTTTAAATTCAATATACCTTTACCAAATCTCACATTCGATGAAACAGCTTTCTGTTGAATACGATTTATTCATCCTGTCTTATTTCAAAGGTGGTTGAAGAATCATACTGTACTTTATGGACGATCAAATATTACTATCCTAACTTTAAAACTGTTATTTATTCCATTTCGAGGTGGTCACCTTGTATATTTTGAGTATTTTTATTTACTGCTTTATAAAATATGAAATTATTTTATTACTAAATTTGAATTTTTAAAAACGTTAAAGTTACATTTTGAGTCGAACATATTTTAAATTATTCCATGTGTATCACAGGTAACCAATCATGCACCTTGTTACGTAAGATTCTTTCAATGAGTTTCTGAATTTAATAACGAATTTTCCCATTCACGATGTCATTTTTTAAACTGTGTTATGCAAATCTCTCAGTCACTATCTAGTACCGTAATCAAGTATCGTAACTTAGCATCCGTGTTTCGTAAGGTATTTTAATTCATACAGTTAGTTCTCAAAATATATACTGTAGAGTCATTAAGTTAACTGGAAGCAGAAAAGATGAAAAATATACAACCGCCTTCGTCGGGAATCGAACCACGGACCTCTGGAATACCGGCCCAGCGTGCTACCGTTACACCACGAAGGCACGCTAGGGAAGTGGGAGAAATACCTTATATACTCCCCTTTTTAAAAGGCGACTAGGGTTTTAGGGGACCTAGTCGCCAAATCCTGGGTGCGGAGAATCATCATCCGCAACCCTTTTAGTTCGGGCGCCACTTGTAGAGTCATTAGGTATATTTTTGGAAGTAGGCAAGATGAAAAATTAACAACGCCTTCGCCGGGAATCGAACCACGGACCTCTGGAATACCGGCCCAGCGTACAGAACCACTACACCACGAAGGCACGCTAAGGAAGTGGGAGAAATACCTTATAATACAAATCAAAGTGTGAAGGACTGCATAATCAATTTTATGGTAATGAATGATGTTTTCACTACATTTTTTTTTAACTAGGAATAATGCGAATAACTATTTAAGAGAAATTTTTTAGTTGTTAAGGATACTTAGAGATTGAATTTTTCCGAACGCAATGCTTAGTGAAGATTCTCGAATTTCCAAAATAATAACATTTTTTTAGGTTAAAGAATCCTTTAACCTAGTTTTATGCAAAATAGTGCATTTTTTAGCCTTTTTAAATTCTAAATCATAAATTATATATTTTTGCTACAAAAGCTTTCTCTAATTTTTCTACCCATACGCTACTGTCGACACTGAAAACGCAACCTTACGGTCATGATAACGAATGGCCAAGTAGTTTAAACACTTTTGAACACTGGTAGTCCAACACTGGTAGTCCAATCCAGGTTCGATTCCCTTGAAAAGGCTGATTGCATGGAGACTTCGTGGTTTTCTACATATATAATATAGGTGAGAGACACGACATGGTTATGATAAAATCCCTGTAGCAGCACAAAGACAGTAACATCGATAAATAGATATAATTTGAAAACTAATTGGTTTGCTAAATTTCACTCCACCCTGTAATATCATCTTTTTCTCAGTTCTGATTGATAAAGGGTATATCAAATGACATTTTGTTTGCACCATGCAAACTCTTGCCCTTCGAAGCGAGACTATTGCTGATTGTGTGTAATGTCATTTTATTTCACGAATAATCTTCACGGTCACAAGTAATCTCATTAACGATTTTAAGTATAAATTGTTTAACTTTTTAAAAATTTTCAGTACTTTTTTTTATATTTCATTCCATTTAATCAAATATTTGAGAAGCTGTAGCTCTTTTGCACACTTTGGCAGAGAAAACCTTTCGATTTACGAAATTACTTGTTGTTAAAGGTAACGTAACTCCTTTTAAATTCTCCAGTTTAAGAATTTTTCTGGAGGATTCCGAACATTGATAATTCGACCTGGATATGAAAGGACTGGTTGCATTCACGTTATGCTGTATGATAGTTTTCTCCATGTGTAACATGGCACGTTTCTTTATAAGCGTGTTCCATAAAGGCATCCCTCCGCTTAGGCACATAGCCCTCGTATGCTTTACCGTAATCAAATAAACCAAACCAGTCTAGAGAATTAGGAGCTCCGAAACAACAGAACTTCTCGAGAATGGAGATCTCTCGAGATAGAATTATATCTTGTTTGTGGTCGAGAATGTAAACTTTTATTACAGGTAATTTTGTTTAAGGTAAGTATGGGTTACTATTAAAGCATACAGAGTAATTTAAATAACTTGCAGAACTTTACATGATTGAAAACGTAAGAATTTAAAGGCATTGTTCCTAAGTGCTCTTGTGGAGTAAACAGTGGTCAAGATATCAGTGGTTTGTGTCGAGTAGTGTCCGATTCCTAGCAAAAGTGTTGGTGATTTTTCGAGACTTTCCAAGAAACCCATATATCTTTAAAGTGGCGCTCCATACTGAAATAAGGTGAACGATAGTTTGTCATTAACTTGGAGTGGCTAACTGTGATACCTAAGACATTCCTTCTTTGTATTCTTGTGGCGCAGTGGTCAGTATAACAATAGTATGTAGTGAAGACTCGGGTTCAAGTTACGACAACGGCACAGTTGATTTTTTAAAATCTCGTCCTCCTAAGAAACAAATACCTCTGTGTATTCTGTAGAAAATGAGAAAAATTTGAGTTTATTACGCTTTATGTAATTAATTCTATCAAGGCTAAATGAGTTGCCTGCATGATTTTTTTTTTAATCTTATGTACCATAAATGCATGATTTTTTAAAATCTCGTTCTCCTAAGAAACAAATACCTCCGTGTATTCTATAGAAAATGAGAAAAATTTGAGTTTATTACGCTTTATATAATTAATTCTATCGAGGCTAAATGATTTGCCTGCATGATTATTTTGTTTTTATCTTATGTACCATAAATGCATGATTTTTTAAAATCCCATCCTCCTTAAGAAACAAATACCTCTGTGTATTCTGTAGAAAATGAGAAAAATTTGAGTTTATTACGCTTTATGTAATTAATTCTATCGAGGCTAAATCAGTTGCCTGCATGATTATTTTGTTTTTATCTTATGTACCATAAATGCATGATTTTTTTAAAATCCCATCCTCCTTAAGAAACAAATACCTCTGTGTATTCTGTAGAAAATGAGAAAAATTTTAGTGTATTACGCTTTATGTAATTTATTCTATCGAAGCTAAATGAGTTGCCTGCATGATTATTTTGTTTTGATCGTATGTACCATAAATACAAGTTCATTTCCCCAGATGAAAGAGTATAATCTTTGTAAGACAGCGGAGAGCTTTTTCTCGGCGACGTATAATCAGTCAAATTTTTTTTTTTTTTTTTTTAAAGAGCGGCATTTCACTTCTGGGTGAATATTGCAGTGAAGTTATACGTTTCTTTGTGTGGTATCGACGGCATTTAAAAGACGCGATCGAATTTTTTAACTTCATTTAAGCAGATAAAATTATGAAAAACATTACAAAAAATGTATTTAGTTTGCATTAATATATATGTAGATAACTATTGAATTTCTGTTGTTTATACTTATGATGGGCCCATCTATATCTCTTAGAACAGAGCTACGGTAATTTAAAAATGGTTTTTCGAAAAATCTTATCATTACTTGCATAAGATTATGATCCTGTATCAAATAAAACTTTAAAAAAAAATACTGTTAAAGCAAAAGTATTTTAAAGAAAATAATCGGATTTTATCAAGCTTATAATGGAATTATTACAGAAACTGTAAAGAGATATATAACACAGATAGCTTTTGAGTGCTTTCTCTAAATAAATAAGTTCGTAAAGGTATTAGATATTTATCTGGAGAAGGAAGCACAAAAAAGCAGCTATGTACTCGCTGGGATTCGAACTCCGGATCTTCGTATTGCTGGCCTGCTATGCTACCTTTTACGCTACGACAGCATGCAGTGGGGGAAACAAACCTTCTTAATGCTCTCTTCACTTGAATGGCGACTGGGGAAGGAGGAGACCCAGTCATCAAACTCAGGTAATGACGAATTATCCATCCATCACATTTTAGTCGGAGTCGATTGCTAGCCGGATGTGCTAAGAATTAT